GGGGGGGGGGGGGGGGGGGGCGAACTGAAAGGACGAGAATCGCTTCCCTGCGGTTCCGCTACGACTCTCCTGACGTATATGTTCGTTGCGGAATTAAAAGCTCGTAGAGTTCCCGCGTGCATCCGTCTCGGGCTTTATTAATGGGCTCGATGTCGGCCTGTAAACAGAGAGTAAGAAGGGCGGAAGCTGTTGAGGGGGCGACAAGAGCCGGGGTGGGAAAGTCTCCGCGGAAATGGAGTAGGTGCCTGCGGTATATCCGGACTACACCAAGTTGGATGAGACGCGTGGAAAGCGCGGGGATATTGATGGAGACTGTTGGGCGCCGCTCGGAATTTGAATGGCAGTTGATTAAAGGCCCCTGTCTAACTCGCACGTCAGTGAGGCGTCAGTTTCGTGTCAGTGCGCGGTCCAGCTGGTTCCGCTGATAGTCCTATTAAAGCTCAGTCAAGCCAATGCGCTTGTTAGTGCATTAGAAATGCGATACGCAAGGCGAAAAGAGTAACGTAATAACAGTGGCATAACGTAAGATAAATTTGAGACAGTGATTTATGTTTGTCTCAAGCTTTTAAATATGATAACGAATTCTGATGGTGAATTATCGAAATATGATGATGTAATATTTTTACAGATTTTTTTTTAGCTATATTTAACCTTCCGGAGTTGACGCGTCTATTTAGATTCACTCAATTATATCCCTCCGAGACCGACGATGGATTTATTGGATCCACTCAATATATATTTATTGTAAGTCTTTTTGACAAAATGTTAAACAATTCAATTTTTATATTACATTTACAAATTTGGATTATAAAATCAAAATATACTTATAAAAATACTTGTATAAATTTATCAAAATATACTAGAATTTTTTCGGTAAATTATATCATTTTCCTAAAATTAATTAGTGTTTTTTAATCAACATATATTAAGTGTTACAGATTTTGGCGTTATTTACGGAAGGTTAAAAGGTGACATTAGGAGGATCAAAAAGATGTCTTTATTTTTATGAATTTTTTTGTGAAAGTTATTAATATTAACTTTACTCACAAACAGGGTTTTGGGCAATATTTTGCACATAAATTAGGGAGTGTTACATGTAATTTTTATTGTATATCCATCGATATAAGGAAGAGCAACACTTTTATCAGACGAGATGGCTCTTGTACTTCTTAAAGCACCAGGGATTAATTCCAATAATAGGATGCACCTGATGGATAAAGGGAGCAAAAATCTCTCGGAAAGGCAGAAGATATAGTGCGGGGAAGAGCAAATCGCGTAGGCGAGAGTCGGTTATCCGTATTTCGAATCATCGGACCGTACATCGGGGTGCCGTTCGAGTTCATTACGGTAATCTGCCCTTCCTGAGTAACGCATCGATGAAAATGTACAATATAATCATATCTGGCTCGACCTAGCGATATCTGAGATACATGATATAATTCTGTCAATTGAGCCAAGATAATTATCTTCGTTGAGATGATCACGATAGTTGCGCATCAGCGATCTTGCAAAGTATCGAAGTTTTACCTTCCGTATTTCAGAAATATAATGATGAAAATGAGAAAAGTAAGAGTTTAGTTTTAATGTACTAAAAACACATAATAATAAAAATTGTCCACTTTCTACATCAATCAAAAACTTACGCGGGATAACATAAGTTTGAATTTTTAATAAGAAATTTAAAACCAATTTTATATAAGATGCAATTAAATAATCTCTAATTCCAAGTAATATTTAACATTTTAATTGCGTTACATAAAAATATAATACGAGTATAAAGATGTCTCATAGGAAAAGGAGATACATATTTAAAAAAGGGATTCGCAAATGAAATAAATGGCAAAGAAAAATAACTTAAAAATGTGCAACAATTTTTACGATACCTATGCTTCGGTTATAACTCGTATATTACGTGTTAAGCTCGATCCGAGAGGCGACGGAATTCCACTTGGTCAGAAAGTCGAAAGATATGCGCCAAACTGCGGGCATCCTTCGTCGAGGCGCGGGAGAAAAAGGAGTGCTAATGCATATCGATGAAATATCGATGCGCGTCTATAAAGTGAGCGCCGTGCTCGCCGAGGAAATGGCGTGACGGTCAATTTCTCTAGAGGTTAAATGCACGTGTACGTATATAGAGCCCGGTACGTGGGATCTGACCGGATGCGCGCGAGGGTTCGCACGTGTTTCAGGAAAAGGTATG